AATATCATATAATATGTTGTCCCACTTAGACAATGAACGTAAGAGATTCGAGCCTGGACAAAACTTCATATGATTCCTTTGCTTTTGATATTGATGGGAGTTTCCCACTCCTGTTGCTTAGATTCGCCGTGAGATCACACATTTTGTCAAAATGAAACGCTAGCCAACACTATGCAAAGAAATACATTAATTTGTATCCAGCAGAGACAATCATGTCAGGCTTTGAATATATTCCCCCAAAATATACTCTATCGATCCCTGTCCTTTTCAAAATTCAGACAAACAAACTGATGCTTCGTGTTAAAATATGGGTGTTTTTTTGAAAGATTTAAAAAAAATACTGGAACACAATGATTATCTTACCCTAGACAAGCTTGTTCTAATTTCCGATGCTCTCACCGTTAATTTCCACCCTTGTAGAGCAAAACATCAGTTGTGTGTTTGTTTTTTCTTACCAAGTAAATCGTGTTGGTCGCCAGAGCAAAACACCCTTGATGAAACACAGTAAAACCTGGTAACGCCGAGAGGAATAACTGGTTGCTATTCGCCGTCCTATTGAAACCAATACCCTTCCAGATTGATATCGCCCCCACCCTCCGAAAAAGACTGTCATTGTAATTTAGTTTGAGTTGAGTTGCTTCCTAAGACAATACGGATAAGACAAGATAATTCTACCCCAGAAATTATTGTCTCACTCGCCTTGTTGTGCATAACCCCCTCTATCTGAAAATGAATCCGTCAGACACTCGGAATCAGATTAATCGAATACAACCTTCCCAAATTTATCATCCGAGTGATTGGCAGTTGTCTGGCCAAAAATAATTTATTTACGCTTCGGGCAAACTCAAAACACCACAATTCCATTTGCGTTTTGTTTACCCTTAAAACAGTTAAATGTTGATGAGCCTGGTTCAATTACTTCCGCCCACGCAGACAAACAAGCGCACACAACTAAAAGAGCAAACCGTCTACTCCATTGGGACTGTTCTGCAACTAAGCAGTTCTCAAAATATGGCTGTCGGAGGCAGTATGATCAACTTCAGTCTGACAGAAAGGGATTCGTAAGATTGATGGAGAGGGGATCTTGTAGAAGTTGTTTTGATTGACCGTTTTATTCGCGAACGATCACAACGCCCCCCCTAAATAAGGAGATAGCCCACTCGTGACCTCACCAGTCAAATACTTAACTAAGAGGTATGAAATTCTCGAGTTACAAGTAGGTCAATATGATCAAAGTTCAAAACGATTTTAATCGTTCGAGGTTTCGGAGTGAAACACTTTGTTCGCTGGTTGACTTAGGTCAAGAGTTCGAAACTTCCTAAAGTGTCGTGGCACTGCCGATAAGTAATAGAGCTCATATTTCCGAAGGTGATGGATGGAGAATGCACCGTTATTCTCCCACGAACGACACGTTTGTGCATAGAAAAAAGCCAAAACAATCATTCAGTTATAGGGCGTTTTTCGGTGCACATATGCCTCGAGCAGCTGACTATCTCTAGAGCATGAGATTTCATTTGGCTACGTATATTCCATGGAGAAGCTTTATCAAATGGCATTGACACTGATGGGTGGAAATAACATCAAAACATGTTACTAGACCATCAGTACAAGTAAAACTGGAAAATAATTATCTAATTTGTAAGATGAAACCAGTAGTGGGGTAAGATTTACGGTCGGTGGAATATAAAGTATACTCTGAACATAGATTATCAGTTAGCCCTTAACATACCCTTTTTTACACATTTTTGTATGCATTCAACACCATATCAACTATTCTGGGGAAGTAGAAAACCCCCCAAATTTCGAAAAGTAAATGCAACAGAAGATTCTAAAGCACCACTCAAGCAATGGTGCCCACATAGTTGCACTTGAGTGCAATGATGAAGCTATATTTGAGCCTGAAGCCTGACAACCAATAAACGATCAATGAAACTTTCTGAAATAATCGTTCAGCTTAAGATTCTTTCTGTGCCTAGCTGACATGCCACCAGAAGGAAGCACGAGGGCTGGGATACTGCCAGGTTGCCCAAGCATAGAGAGAGGGAGTCGATATGTAGACGAAACACAGACCTTCCAGTCAACAAATCCGCGCTTCAACCACTGAGTCATTGCACCACAAGCTTTCTGAAAGCCTAGTAATGGACATCTTATGTTTGACAAGAATCCCGTTTCTTCTATATCTAGGAAACAATACTTTGTGGTCATGAGGTTGACAGTCACTCAACTCATAAAGCCGCAATCACAGATACGAGAGCATTCGAGGGACTTTGTTGATTAGACTGTTTAGTCCGTTCGTTTGCTCACAGAAAGATTTTGGCCGGAAGTTACGTCTACCTCCGTCCGCACAGCTCGTGTTTTTCTACCATTTTATGTCTTTCCTCTAGAACATGGATTTCGAATTTCCGACACTGCACGTTTGCTCATCCGTAACTTCTACGTGACTACTGTGACTGATCTGAGTATCGTCTTTTATCTATCAAGAATAACAGTACAATTCACACGTTGCGTAATGTCTACATACTGTTTTGAATTGTGTCAAACGGAAGCAAGTAGATTTTCTGTCTTACTTTGTATTGCACATCCTGGTTTTTATCGCATCCAACCTTCTCTGTAACAGGCAGGTAACAAGCGGCCCGAACCAAACAACCTTGGTCCAACTAACTGAGACCTTTAGCTGGCATTCGAATGTGATTTGCCGGGAAAACTATAGTTGAAATGGGAGGGCTGTTGCAAGCCAGAAGCCGGCTCAAGCGTGATGGTAAGGCAATAGATGCCAGCATCTGTACAATATACATTACCGAAGCAGCGGTGTTTTCCATCAGTTCCTCCAAGTTTCAGCGTAATTCAATCAAACTAATCATTCTGTTAATGGCGACAGAATGAAGATCTTTTTGACGGGACAGCCAGAGCTCACTTGATCTGAATAATCGCCTTACTCACCAGCCTCACACAAATAACTCCCCGTTCCCGAGATCTACACTTATTTGCAAATCAATTTGGTTTTCACGAGAGACTCAGCTGAATCACTCGTTTATAATATTCTACAATTGAATGTGCTGCACACAGGCCGCCTCGTGTTTCAGTTAGCACGATATTCGAGATATCGAAGTATATTTTCATAAAGGAAACTACTCACAAGGTTACTGAAAACTCTTCGACAGCCCACGACCGGTTTCGCCCTTCTTGGAGCTCATCAGAGAGACGCAGTTCTCGAGTTGTAAATGAGTGTATTTTTCGAAAACAGTCCAATTTGGGTTCAAGTAGAACATAAGATTGACGGAAAGTCGGGGACTGCTCACTACTACTAGTGAACTTTTGTGTTCTTCCTTTTTACCGCTAAAGTGGCTTGCATCGAGTGTTGATCATGCACTGGGTCTGCAAGCGACAACGGAGGGCAGCATTTTGTGCACATGGTATAAGCATTTGTTTTAAATGTCGGAGTACTTCGGGCCAACGTGACTACCAAGTTTGCGTTCAAGTACAACCGCATTATCATCACTTTGTTAAACTAGAAGTATAAATCTCACGCCTTTTTTGTCACCGAAGTGGAAGGAATGAAGTACTGGTCATCTTGGAAACGTTTCTGGTGAACGTGACCCAAGTGATGACGAAAATTACCACGAGTGTACTCAGTTTTGCGGTCATAACCCGCGAAATCAAGGGCTACACATAGCGCCACTTGAAAGTTCAAATGATCACTGAAATAAGCAAGAAATTCCATAATTTTTCACGCGTTAAACAAAGCAACCAAAGTCCTAATAATTGTTTGTCCGAAAACCAACCTGACGTGTGCAGTCACGAGTGAATGAATTTGACTCAGTATTTTACCGCGAATAGTTCAGGTTTAGAAATCCTTACCATACGGATTATTCTGGGAAATGAGATGCACACGAGTCAGTAGACAGACTATTTATTCGCCATTCAGAAAAACTTGGATTCACTCAAGCATTACAGGCATTGAAAACTGCGTTCACCCAATTACGTAACCCTGAGACGTGGTAAAAGACAAAACCATTTTTCCCGTTTTCAAGTACCAAGCCAATAGCTCAACTGACATTCAACCCGGCTGTTTGAAGATGCTTCCCAGTTCGCACGACGCCACAGTGACTAGTTTGATGATTCTCCCCTGGTTTCCAGGTTTCCGCACTTGACTGACTGAATAGAAAATGGATGAAAATTTGATTCTTGATAGTCTTTAGAAATTACGACTTCGTTCTTCCGTTTCACTGTGCTGTGGGATACTGTAAGGATAGAAATTTTCACTTGTCTGGTGTCCACGGTTTAGACAGACCCGGAGAAATGAAAGTTTTGAGTTACTGCAGAAGGTTGCGTTTCTAGCTGACAGATTTTGTCTGCTTTTGTGCGTATCGAAAACACCTTTTCAAACTTGAGACAATCCTCTGCCCTCTCTTTCCTTAACGATCATATGGATGTGCACCTTAATACAATATCTCGTTTCCTCATTAGTCTTTCCAAAGTTCTGAAAAAAAGGGGAAAGAAGGGACACACAGGACTCTTGCTGCCTTACTCAGCCATTGAAATGCTGCGTACAAAATAAACTGCAATGTTCCTTGCATCTGGTCATAACTAAGTTGACAAATTGCTAGGGCGAACCAACTATTTTAAAGGAAATATTACCACAACGGAACTCGGACCACAATCTGACCAATCAAGTTGCGTGAAAGTCATCTGGCGACCAGCCAATCCCCTTAAAGGTGTTAGCTACGCTGTAGAAACTACTTTTGCACAGGCAAACTAAACCAGACTGTGATGATGGTGAACCGTTTGCAATCCAACTACCAAGTTCTGTGAACAAAACACCAGCCAATAATGTCCACCATTTAGTATGTCGGAAACGACTCGGTTTTCCTACCGCTCATACTTCTTTCTCAACAATCCCCAATAATTGAGAAAAAGTGCCTGACAATGAGTACAGCGTACGTAAACCTGTCGAGCAGAACCCGGAGCAGGACAATGAATACGAGAACTGTAGCACTTACGCGTCTTAGTACATGTGCATCCATATTTGTCGCTCCTTCATGATATTCGGACGTTTGGGATGGACCGGATGACGACCAAACTTTTCCCAAATCCGAATCGCATGGCCGCTTGTCACAGTCGTTCCAGGCGACACTGACATGGTGTCTCTCAGGCCCCGATTGACGCCAACCAAGAGAACACTGTTTGAAGCAGTACCGGAATAAATGATAAACACCAGCAAAAGCACGGAATATCGATTTCGGACTGATGATGGTATTCAGAGGAGGAGGGAGAGTGGAACCTTCGTCGAAGTAACCGACCCAGAGTTTGCTGCGCGCGAACTTCCATTCTGTATCAGCATGGTTCTAAATTAAATTAAAAAACATTGTTAACTAGATGGAAGCCTGTCGGTTAGTTTAGGTCAGTGGTTGGGATATCAGAGGTCTGAGGTAATGGAGGTCCCAATTTCAAAGACGACACATACAGAAATATGGTTTGTTTGAATTAGTTAACAGTCGGCTCAAATCTAGTCTTCTCTGTTGCTGATGGCAAACATTCAATTAAGGCTGTTTGGTGAGCACTGGAAAACGCAATCTTCCCTGCCAGTAATATCTCGCGCATGTATCGTATGATCGGCTCTTGTGGGCCTAGCAACAGTCGCTAAGATGTGGAAGGAAAATCCACATCACTGTCACGTATTGGGGTAAGATAATCAATGTTTCGTTTACCAGAGCCAACGTCATGATCGATCAGATCTGTTGGCTTTTTCGGAAGCTGTGTTGTATGCAGCGCTAAGGGAAGCAGCTTGAATAGGACAAAATAAGAGCCTTCTCCTGAATGGTGAATTTAGAGACCTGCAAACCGATTTGATGGCATGCTGCCGTACTTAAGAGCAAGTAAGTCAATGTGGTGAGCCACAAGTATAGCACGATGCTGGACACTTGAGGAAAACCCTAGGTGCAGACATCTAACACCAGCTTCACGTCAAACCGAGGATCAGTTAGGACTGCAGCACACGACACAAAACCCCTCAACTGCAGTTTGTCAAGACCATTGCCACTTCCACTCACCTTTGTCTTTCGTGTACAAGTGGGGATCGTAAGCCCTGGATGAATATACAGATCGAAGATAAGTAGAACTTGCTATGCTACTGATGTAGGTAACCATCTCACAGAAAAGCTGAGCAGCGTTTTATGATCTCAACATGCGCTGTGTTGGCAGTGTTCGCGTTAGAGATAGCAAATGTTTGAATGCTCAAAAGTAAGTCGGGAAACACCAGCCTAGTTATATCAAAAAGAAGACTTAAGAAGTAGAACCTCCGAATTTTAGTGTAGATAGTATCAATCGCAAAATGCTTTAGTTGTTACGTAAGGGTCTGCATTTTGAACACAGAGTAGTTGCAATTGAGGAGCGCATTGTTGGGGATCTCATATCTGCTTCAACTCTCAACCCTCCCACTCACGTAAAGCAAGCCTTTGTTCATCTCGCTTATTACGAATCTTCTTTATATTTGTCCCTCAGCTTATTTATTTAGACTTTACCACATTCCAGTGAAACTAACTCCCTAGGAGTGAGCCGAGGAGGTTCAGGTTATGTCAGGCGAGTACTTTTAGATCATCTGCCTGTGCCTGAATACTGTGGTGCTACCCAGTTGAGGTACAACAAGTGCATGTTCGATCGGAGGTGATGATCCACGTGAAGGCCTCAGGTTCAGTCAGTCGCATTTTACTCGGCGTTAAAGATGAACGGTCCAGCAGGTGACAACTCGCAATTTGGGAAGTCTCTCTGATGGTAGTTGGAAGAGTTTTGATAATTTTCAATTGAGATTTAATCCTGATGTTACTCGAGAAGCCAGTCGGTAAGTGACAATTGTGATTGAAAGACCAACATTACTATATCTGTCTGAGAGCCTAAAGCCGTTTGTTTTCAACCGATGGCCGAAAGGTTACGGGTTTGGAACCGTCCGAGCTTCGTGAGATGTGCACTGCCGATTATTCTTAATGAGGATGAAGCGTTCTTACGGTGCTTTGTGACTTTCCCTTGCAGTCCATAATTGTGTTTTACTGGCTGGTGAGATTTATTTTAGGCTCGAAAGTAAACTGACACAGTTTAGGCTGACTTCAACCAGCTTACATATGTGGACAAGCACTGCAAGAAGTTGATATTCGATCCATGAAATAAACAAGTGAACATGTTACTGTTACCAAATTACGTGTCTATATTTAATAAGGTAGTATTTATGAGGTTAGCCGAAGTGCACCGATAATCTGATTTCACCCCTTTTTGGTTCGTTGAGTAGGCTTAGCCCCTAAAGCGGACTTTTGAAAACCGAGACGATGTTAACGGAGAACCTGATCAAACCTAGCTGAGTCCTTCGTTTTTGATAAATTTCACTGAGTAAGATTCACAAAAACCCTACAATGTTTGCGTTTTTTCTTTCAAAAGATGCTACTTAAAAGGTTGCAGTATCGTATGTGGAATGAATGCTCCAATGCATCAAGCAACAACTCAATTTTAACGTAAGGCAACATAGTCAGGTGAAAAATGGCGTACACGAGAACATCAGATGTATTTTTTTGAAAAAATATACGCTGCTAACTAGGAGAGTGGAGATGAACAACATGCTCCTTTCCTTAACTTACGATCTTCATGTTTAACACTGATATGCGTGATTGCTCCATGGAAACAGCCCATTTGGATGTCGTAATCATCATCACTATCATCATCATCTTCATCATCATCATCATCATCATCATCATCACCGACAGCATGTCATCAGTGTTCAAAACCGATGCTTCACTGCCGTATGGATGTCACCAATGAACAAATACAACACGGATTACTCGTCCACTGAATGACAATAGTGCTAACGATGCACACTTATTCGATCTGGATCATTTTGACTGTCACCCAGCAGTCGAGGTCAGTGCTACAGAAACAATGGAAGTTGATGCAATACCCCCGCAGTCAACTGAAGGTAAAGAGACCGAAAATGTGAAGTTGTACCGAGATTTTCAGGATAACGGATGGAACTGTGAGAAACAAAACTGGAGCGTATCCCTTGGAAACGATATGCGTAGGTGGACAGTTGCTTATTCTTATCGGTTCAATCAATCATTCTGTGGTCATATCTACTATCAACTACTGTGAAATAAAGGTGTTTTTCAAAGTCGCTAGTGATACGACTTGTACACAGCTATCCCGATTTCAACAACACATACACTTACGTGCCATGAGGATACTAACTACTGATTAGAAGCCGTGCCAGCCGAAAACTGAGGCAGCCTTTGTTTAGCGCATTCATTTCAAGGGCATTATAAACAAAGGATTTACCTGATTTAGAATCAGGTAAAAATTCGTCAGTCTGGTTTGATGATTTTCACGACGAGCGAAACGGATATTCGATTGTCATCGCGTGTGTTCCGCCTGAAACCACAGCGTCTGAGTACAACCCCCCAAAACTAGTGTTCAACTCATTAGCCGGGACATCGCGGGTTCTAAACTCCTTGGAGTTCTGTGAGATACGCACTACTGACGATTCCCTATAGAAACGAAACAACTGTACAGTGTTTCTCGGCTTTTCAGAATAGCTTGGCTCTACTTACCGGACGAAATCTCAATTGACAACGTTTTTCGCCTGAGACGTTGTAATACATAATTGAATAACATCAATACCAGCATATGGGTGAATGCATTATCCATGGATCTCGTACGAATCCTACCAAGCGATACTGTGGGGGAATTTGCGGTGCAGTCTAACAATTTCGGGGATGGTTAACACGCCCGGTGCTGGTGTATACACTGGAGGCACAATACCGAGTGACGACAAGGGATCGAAAGTTAGTACAGACAAAAGCATGGATCTTTCGCAGTGTTTAATTTTTCCGTTTTTATTTCTATGAGGTACCGTAGTCGAAGTTAACCTCTTTAAAACTGATTCTGCAAGTTTGTGAGCAGGAAAATACAATATTGATCTCGAAGATTTTGTTTTTTCTCAAGAACAGAGTGAAACGGGTCGATACAGTTTGTGAGACAGGCTGGAGAGCAACCTTAGCTCCAGGAAGTGATACAATTGGCCGGAGAGGTATTGATTCTCTGTGTACCTTTGGGAGTCCGTAGAATCGGGGAGTAGCCGAATCACGAGCTCCCATTCTCCAATATTCCTCTTTTGTAATCTTGTGGAGATCCTGTAGTTGCTTCAAGTTCTCATTGATTTTTCTTGCTAGATGCTTACTTTGGTCGCGTTCTAAGCGGCGGTACGTAGTTATGTTGTTAAGTAGTGCCTTTGCTTTATTGATGTAGCCCGGTTTGTCTATGATCACCGTTGGGCGTCCCTTGTCTGCCGGTAGAACCACGATGTTTTCATCCTTCTTCAACTTGTTCATTGCTTCTTTTTCTTTGCCGGAAAACACGTTGAGTGGTTAGTTGCGTGTGATGGCTGGGACGACAGTTTGACGAGGTTGCTGCTGCGCGTTTTCGTCGAGTCCAAGAGATTTCATCGCTGCTTCTAGGCTGGCTAAATACTCCATGTTTGTCGCGTCTTTGAAGTTGAAATTAAGCCCTTTGACGAGAACATTTTCTTCAGCTTCCGTCAGTTGCCTTTTGGACAGATTCCCTATCCAGGTTTCATTGTGATTACTTTCGCACTCCCGGTTCCTAATCAGCCTGGAGAATTTGCTATCTAGATGAGCCTTCTTGTTTTTAGCAGTGGATGAAACTCTTCGTTCTACCGCCATGCTAAGTTGCTCCATGAGATCTGGTCCTATTGTCCTCAAGCAGGCTTCCCTATGTTCGTTGGCTATTCTCTCGTATTTTCTAATGCGGTTTGAGCATCTGTAATCATAAGTCTGACCATTCGTCTACCATTCTGTCTAGCTATTACCCAAGCTTGTGGATGGTTTATTGGCGGTCGGTAGGTTACGCTACGTGGAAGGATGTGTTTGCGCAGGCATTCATGGAGGACACAACAACGACCTCAGCTCTTGTGCTGAAGAGTCTATTCCCTTCATATGCCATTCCAAGCTGAAAGTGACCTGGGCAATCGCTGCCTAGGTCGCTATCAATAAGACCATTAAACCAGTGCAATAGCACATGCTGGTGCTAAAACTTCATAGTGCACAGTTCCTGACGACGAGAGTGACCCAACCCATAGAAGTGACACTGAAAGAATTTCATTCACGTCCGAAAATGCATCAAGATGTGAGAAAGATTTTTTTCGATGACGAACAGCTCTTCACACTACATGGTCAACAGAGTAGACTCAACCGTAATAGGCACACTTTTGGGCTCACATGGACTTGAGACTTCGTCGCAAACAGGAAACCGCTTTAGAAAATTGGCTTTCTATGAAAAATGTAAGCCCTTCAAGTACAATATTTCTGAAGGAATATATCGCCGGGAAGCTTATCTACCTGCTCTCAGAGACCATACACCATAAATTACGTGCAGGATTTAGTAGGTTTCCGAATAGTTTACGGCAAACATGTGCGTTATATGACTTCGCAGATTGCACAGAAATCATCGAACTGATGGGTCCCATTTCATAGGACCAGAGAGCGGCGGCGACCTACCATGGAAAACACAACAAATAAAGCGAAGGAATTTGATATTAGCCCTCTGCACCTTTCCTGTTTGTTTCCTAAGCATTCTGTCCAACTGAATGCTAATATCGTCAAATTCATTCAAAAAGGGACACTGTCACTGTGTCACTCGATGGCACAATTCTAGACTAACGCCCTTCCATCATATCAGCTGGAAACTATCTCAGGTTTGCCGAATGCTGCAAAATTACGGCTGCAAGCAATTGACCCCAAGAGAGTGCCACGCACGAGAGGGCGTGCTTTTTCGGTGGTTCGTTGTATTTAACTTTCACATCCGGAGTTCAATTTGAAAAGAAATTCTACCTGTGATGAAATCCCGAGAATCATCAGCGATGCATATCCTACGTATCTCTGAGGAGATTCGGTCACAAAACAATCTGGATAGAAGCTGGGCACTGTCATTCAGCTAGGCGTCGCTGGTTATCAACCTGCCTTTATTGATCGTCTGCTTACCCACAGACCCCACAGAAATATGAAGCATCACTAAAAATGCTAACGGTGATATGCACACTGTACCAAGCTATCATTCAGAATTTCGCCCTTAGCCACCTGAACAGAACTGTAACAAATTTCGGTCAAGATGGAACGGTCGCGTAGTATCTAAAGAATAAAAATACGTAAACGTGATTCGGTCACACCCGTTTTCTATCTAGATCTCAGAGGGTGGCATACTCATTGCACTTCCCTAGTTCATTTCCGATGCTAGAATTTCAAACAACCGGCCAAATTTTCAACACTTTCTTGTCCTCCTTGATAGATTGCAAGATATCAGTCCCGAAAACATAGAGGTTGTCAGATGCTAAGGAGGTCAATTGCGCGAGCATTTTTCCTTTAGTATAGTCTGTTCGGTTTTGTAAAGATAAAGGAGCCCATGTGCTTGACTTTTCACTATCTTACCACGCTTTTCTACCCTAAGCATCCCACTGCATCCCAAGCCAATAGTTTGGCCACAATCATCCCGCTCCCCCCCCCCCCCCCCCCCAGTTGATGTCCAATCAGACATGAGCTTCTAATTACTAGTAGTGAATTGGGTAAGTCAACAAATAGTTTGATTAAGAATCATCCCCGACTTCAACAGTTAAGGGGAAACCCCTTTCTATCTATGTTCGAAGCCGTTAAATTTAGGTACGTTTTTTGGGGGGAATCGTAATATCAGCGTAAACTTTCGAATGTGTTGGTTTCTGGAAACCATGATCTATTTTGGGATATCATCCATTAAGGAGATGTCATTTTGCAAACTATTTCATTTGCTGAGCTAGGTCGTGTCGATTCCGGGTTTCAAGCCATTCTCGAAGCTTGCATCTTCCACGTTTTCTGAAATCCAGTATTTCCGATCCATACTACGCATTGCCTTGTAAGGCTTGGTATACTTTATTTGTTCTGGCTGCCACATCCTCCTGTAGAACGTTCACGTGGTGAAATCCAACCTCTTGTCAACCAATGAGACCACAGTTACAAGGTCGATCCACTGGCAAAATGTAAGAGGAGATAGGCTGGGTTAGTTTAATACCTCATGCAAATCAAGGGTTTCTAGTTTGAGTTGGTTCCCAAGTTTTGTGCATACTTTTTCGCCTCGTTCAGCCCCTGCTGCGGCCTTTCGAGTCTCGAATGATATCAGAGATCTGTTCATTTTCCATATAACCAAGCCATGTAGATGACAGATATCTTTTGTCTGGTTTAACTTAGTGGGAAACAACTCCTCTAAATGAGGAGCGGACGAATGCATCAGTCCCACTAGGCTGTCTATGTCGACTGGTGTCTGATTCTGACAGGCTGCAATCAATCGCAATCACGGATTTCTTGATTGTGACTTTTGTTTCGCAACCGTTTTATTCAACACATTTCCAGGTGGCAAGAATGATAGATACGTGGTTAGTTGTCATTGTTGTAAACAACATCCCAATCAGAGAACACGGGGAGAAGTACTTGCCTTACCCACAAGAGTGCACCCACAGCTTCGCACACACACACACACACACGAAAGGTGTTCACTTACCTGTATTGTCTGAAACGAATTGGACATCATCGCAATCAACATGTTAATCAGCACAATGATTGCCATGGCATGATAGATGAGCAGTAGGATTTCACCGACAATCACAGTGCTTCGAGCGGACGGAAGATCTTCGCGCTTCCCCGTTGTCTCATTCAATATGCGCACTTTGAAATGGTCTGGCTGACTGTTTCCAAACAAGTTCCAGAACAGAGTTCGATAGGATCGGACAAGGCTGAAAAGTTTTCGGAAACGAGATTAGAGGTCTTGTAGGAAGCGGACCTTCTTTGAAAAGGTGAGAGATCCCATGTGGTTTTCAATGCTATCAAAATAAGTTAAGTATTAAACGAATGGAAATTAGTCTCAGTTCGATGAGTAGAATTTACCGACGTTGCCGACTGAAGACATTACTTACAAAGTTGCCCAAGAGATCTCGTTACTGAATATCCAATAAAACAAGAAGCAGCTTATTTATTTGAAGATTACGATGAAGGAGAGATTCGGCTGGAATTCAGGTGAGTAATCTGTTTACGGCAACTTAGTTTGCCAGGTATGAAATTATCAGACGTCGTTCCACTCGTATGGTCTTCATTTGACTCTCTTCAGTTTCATAGCCTCTGGGCCATGTGACTCTTGGTCAATTAGAAGTTCCCCACATTTCGTCAAATCGGGTCACTTGACATCTGTTCAGTTGCATTAAACGGCCTACTGCCTCCACCATAATTTACACATGATTGGCGTTTGAGGAACTCATCTGTAGATGAAGGTCAGTCCTGTTTAGTCTGTGGACAAGCAGTTTGATAGAAGGATGTTTGATTCTCGTTTATGCCGTATATTCGCATGTTTTCCCGCAAACTTTTCGACCGAGTATTCGGCACTACGATAACAGATCAAACAAACAGAGCGAAATAATTCCGACGCAACGGCTTCTTCCTCTGTGCTCCCTCAAATCCATCCGATTGGAGACAGGATATCAAGTCATGCCAGTCCACACCAAAATCAAAATATGATTTCAATCGTAGACAAATACATATGTTAATAAATGCGGTATAGATTTTATCTTTCGCCGTGTGATTACCGAAGTCAGAACAGCTGACGTCACGACAATTCAATAAAAAAATGCAGTCTACCTGAACAGAAGATGATACGTTTGAACCTCAAAATATTGGACAAACTTTCCAAACAACATATGGAAACCTTCATTCTCGTCTTGAACGGATATTCTAACCTTGGGTTTCCAAATTCAGGAATCCAGTTTTCCACACAAAGATTACTCCTGTCAAATTCAAAGTCCAATCCAACCATTTCAAAGGATATGTTTTTTTCGGAGCTTTGATATAATTATGCTTAAACGAAGTACAGTGCTACTGTTCGGACAACGTGCAGCCCTAGAACCGACAAAAAATCTCGCAGTTCCGAAAAATGAATCCTGTTGGGGGGCATAAACATCCACTCCCAGAGATCTTGAAACTTTTCGTACATCTTGAGCACTTATGGAAAATGAAATATACAAATGTTTTTTTCCTGGGGTGAAAGGCGATATCAGTCAGTGGTCTTTAATCGTTCGCATCAGCAGTATGCTGCCAATGGTTGGTCAGATCGAGCTCAGGACAGCTCACCGTATACGACGTTTAACTACGGGCCAGAATATCCTCGGGTCAAAACAAGCCCTGGTATTTCGACTGTTACTGTTTGGGCTTAGGCAACCCGGGAGCCCTCATGCCTCCTTTCAGTCACAACTGAACGAGTTCTAGTCACAACTTTTTAGTAGGTAAGATTGGAGTTTGGCACAGGAAGTGTATGCAATGAATGAACGAGTGCAAGCTTCCACGTTCCATCGTCCCTCTGTTGAGTATTACTCTCGGCGCCGACCAATGCTAGACTATCCAAGTTTACAGTGCTTCATCATCTATTCCGTTGCTTTTATTTGTTTATGATGCAACAAGTCATGAATCGTTGTATACAGAGACCGTTTCTGCCTCTTTTAAATCATATTGATCGAAACAATTAAGTCGAAAGTTTAGCGTGCACCATGTTATGTTGTTTGGGGTCCTGAGAATCGTCGCTAACCCTTATCAATGACTCTAACAATGTAAAATGGGGTACCTTGTCCCTCTAGCTTCAGACAACAATGACGTCGTTACTTGGGGCAGGCATTTGCAAACCTAGTTGGTGCTGATCAGTAACTATTATTGCGCAGAACAGAATCCAGTGGCGGACTTGACAAACTTTATTCTGTGCATGTGACTTATTGATTGGCGTGGGCGGCTGCCACGATCGATTGTCTGCCTCATTAGAACTTAGAATAAGCGCAGTAGCTGCTTTTTAACCAAGAAGGGTACAGGTGTTGCTCTAATATGAAGCGTTACCCTTGCACCTCTATTACTGTAAATACTTTGAAGGCTGGACAAACACCTTGGAAGCAGTCGATGTTCCGAACTACCACATTGGAGCGAAGCCAACAACACCTCAACTTAGTCCGCTCAAACATGAATTAAGTCCACGCATGCCCAAATCGTTACCAACGAAATGTGGAAAGCTCTGAAACTAAACAATATCATGGGCAGAGAAAAACCCAGTTACTGTGTACAGTTACAGCAGGTGCTTTGACATAACACGTTTTTCAAAGGATACATCAAACTGAAGACACCAAACGGTCACTTACGATTTGAAAGCGTCCGGCCTAAAATCTCCCTCCGACGATACGTAATAGTAGTAGAGTTGATGAAGTCCGCAAGCAAAGGACGAAATAACAAGTAGGAAAATGAAAATGAATTTTGTAATATCAATGAGCATGTTCCCCAAGGAGATTTGTAGTGGTCCGAGATGTTCATTCACCTAGTGCAGGGGGCGGAAACAGAAACGGGATGGCAGTGACTGAGAGTGACTGGCTATTTGTGAACTTGGGCAGGCCGAGTAGAGGTTCTAAGACAACCAGACTAGTGAAACAAGCAGCAGAGTATCTACCAATAATAAACTGAGAGTCAAACCATGTCAGGTCAGTTAAAGCTTCGTACCTAAGGTGATCTATTTTGGAAACCTTATGCATGGTATGTAGTAACTCGATTTACATTAAAAGATCATCTAAAGTATGTCTTGTAAAAAAAAGATGGGACACGAGGTCATTATGAAAAAACACTGGTAATAATTACAAAACGCGTCATGTAGGTGACCACAGAGTGGACGTCCTGGTGGAGTCGGTGCTTAAGACAGATTTGGTTTCAGTGAGCGAGGATGAACGAGCGTCAGAATGCCTGTTCACTACGAAGTCAGTCAACCAAGGCCTTAAGATTGTCCGCAGCATCTAGAAAGATATTTTCTAGAAGTCATGGTAAGAAAACAAGAGAACAGTAGATCCCATGAAACAAATTTGCAAATAAGACTGAGAAGAAAATGAGTCGGTCTCGCGCTCATTGCAAAAAAGCTAGATGTCTAAAGCTACCGTATAAAACTCGGAAGTAGGAGAATCAGCTAGAATTTCCCATATAATTAGACTTAGATGTTTTTCAGTGAAGAGATGGACTGGACGCCGCGAGAAAGTTGTGGTTACTGAATAAAACACTTGAAACTTGACCACAAATGAGTAGAAGCTAAATTCTTTAAACCCGGGATGATTAGAGCGAGAAGGCCACTGCCCAACTACACGTAAAATAAAAAAAATTTTATGAGATTGAATCGTTGTAAACCCCCGTTTCAGATCTCCCTAACTTGTGGTCAAATGCCCTGACGTCGTTTTCCTTGGCGTTTTGATGCACACATTTGATGAAATCTTTGCTTCGTAGACTTTCTAAAACCCCAGGTGTGCTAAGTTATTACCGCTTCTGGAATAACCAAAAATGTTGAAATTTGTGTGCGAACTACTACTGCGACCACAAGTGAATCCAGCCCCTTTTAGGGAGCTCTCAAGCATCATTCCGTTTTGATAAGCGAAAGAAATTTGAAACCGCGATCCTCTGGTGCAAATATAATCCAACATAGGATATCACAAAATCACATTTCCACAACCTAGGTTCAAGACCCGGGTGAACTCACTGAAATTAGCAACGGGGTATCATGCATAAAAAACATTACGAGTCTTTTCACTACTAGTGAGGAGAAACTGCAGTCTTTTACCCTCGTATTCAACCGTCATCATCAGCATTTAGCCAAACACATAGAATCACATTCTGGATTTTATTCAGATGGCTGTTACACGAAACTAGTAATAAACTCGCAAACATTTCGTTGCCGAACGGGAAGACATCATCCGTCCAAGGAAGAGACACTCGTACAACGGAGTAGCCGGCTTCTTATCACTCAAATACTCGCGTCACGTATGAATTTCATCGTACTATAATGGGCGAGAGCAACGCAGCAGCCTGAGTGAATGAGACAGATATTCGTCTCGGGTCACTGGTATCCTGATCGACGTCCACAGAGAAGCCTCAAACGGGCAATCCGATGATGACGTATCTCATGAAATTTCTAAATAAATACTGAATTGAGACTGTGCTCAGTCGCCCAGTAGTGGAACAAAGAAGAAGATTGATATCAGAGTGTGACAAATCGGTCCAATCGCCTCATGAAAATATAGGTCAGTAGGTTGGATGAGTGAAAATTACTCGCAAACCCTCAAACATTCCGATTATTTTAGCCCATCCAAACAATGCGGGGTGTATTTTCAGATGCCAATCAATCAAGTGGACTATTTTACGCCGGTTTTTTTTCTTTCCGGTCTGAAGAAAGTAAAAATGAAACCCCATTGTATTCATCCAACAGAAACGGCGAATTTAGACTGATGCGAAAAGCTCCACTTGACGTGGTCACCAATCATCAACCGCAGTGCTCGAAGCAAACGGGTGAACTCAGGTAAAGTGTTGAATTTTGCTGGGGCTAACAGATTCCGCAATATTTCCGCAACAACCGGCTGATATGCAGTGTGATAAACGTGAACGTGAACAAAATATGCTGACATTCATCTTCTAGTCTCGCGTTTTCACATCACGCACTTACGTGTTGACCAGTTCATCCGATGAGTATTTCTCAACAGGAAAGAAACGGCTGTATAGAGTTTCCCAGATTCAAGGAATTCATCACGTTCGCGTGTTGTATGAAATATTTCATGTTCCATTAAATAGCAGAAACACATCTTCCCATCATCAGAAATTAACTAACTCGAGAAGCCGTAAAAATCATAAAAATAGTAGCTGTTTATGCCAGAGTTCATTTCGACCAACAAAAATTCATTGTCAAATTAATGGCCATGACTCTCATAATGGCGACACCAGTATTCCCAGTACCTATGCGGGCAAATTTAATCAAATGTGTAACCTGAGCTCACATCCGAGAGAGAGCTTGGAGTGCCTATGGGTACCCAGCAGGACCAGTGATTTAGGGCGACCCTGTGACCTTGACTCTACAAACTGACTGGCTTTCCGCTCAACCCAGTGATTATTCCTGCTCATCCAGTTCAATCTTCAGTGGAATTTGGAATCAAATCGAATCCGTAAGAACAAACATTAGAGTCCCAGTAAAGTATTGTCTCTCCAGAATTAAGTGTAGTTTCTTACAAAAACTTATGGATATTGAAGTCAGGAAGTCGTTCAATCATCCATTAAGCGGTCTGCAATTTATCAAAGGAATCTGAGTAGCAAAATCGACGTAAATTTTCTCAGCTAACTTTCACCGATTAAAAGGGCTGATCAAATTGATTCGTTTGGAGTTTTTATTCCGACATTCATCTGGTTGTGTGTAAAACGGAACTCTGGAAAACACTATGTGAGTTTTGGAAAAGTGACGTCTAAACAAGAAGTAAACACTGAGATCAGGTGACCTTGAGAACAGGTCTTAAGCGACCATCCGGCGTTTTGCAATTTTTGGAGGTCTGTGCTCAAATACTAGATACTTTAAACATCATAAAGTTAGTGAACAACTCGAATTTTGTACACGCGGTGGACTGGGACTTTGTGTCTTTTAAAGCCTGTCGAATTTGCGAAGTGTGAATTCTTCAGTTCTGAGAGTTTTTAGAAAGTGGGCTGAGGTCAATACTCGGACTTTAACTTTTGACTCCATAGTCCTTTGGACACTATCCTAACAAGCCTCAGTGACAGGGGATCACAGTGGTTAATGGGGCCACTTTAAAATACTGGTGTTGGAAAAATAGCCGCTGGATAACCGTAGGCACTCTAAATTCTCACTCGCATGTAACAAGTTTCATCAGGTTTGTCCGGATCGAAACTGTGATACTAAAACTAGAAGATCGTGGAATATCGTGGATTCTGATATCCCCAGCAAAATTCAACACTTTACCTGAGTTCACCCGACCCGTTCGAGCACTGCGGTTGATGATTGGTGACCACGTCAAGTGGAGCTTTTCGCATCAGTCTAAATTCGCCGTTTCTGTTGGATGAATACAATGGGGTTTCATTTTTACTCTCTTCAGTCCGGAAAGAAAAAACCGGCGTAAAATAGTCCACTTGATTGATTGGCATCTGAAAATACACCCCGCATTGTTTGGATGGGCTAAAATAATCGGAATGTTTGAGGGTTTGCGAGTAATTTTCACTCATCCAACCTACTGACCTATATTTTCATGAGGCGATTGGACCGATTTGTCACACTCTGATATCAATCTTCTTCTTTGTTCCACTACTGGGCGACTGAGCACAGTCTCAATTCAGTATTTATTTAGAAATTTCATGAGATACGTCATCATCGGATTGCCCGTTTGAGGCTTCTCTGTGGACGTCGATCACGATATCAGTGACCCGAGACGAATATCTGTCTCATTCACTCAGGCTGCTGCGTTGCTCTCGCCCATTATAGTACGATGAAATTCATACGTGACGTGAGTATTAGAACGGGAGCAAATCAGCTGCCCAGTTATTGAACTAATTGCTTCCTGGTCTAGAAGGTTGAGAGGAATTTACACAAAATGGTCACAATTTCAACGAATTCACACTAATTTAAAATGGCTGC